AGATTTCTATCGATTCTACTTAATTACCATTCTTTTGCAACGCATTGTTGAATGAGTTTAAGTTCCTTGCGCTCGCGGCACGTGCACTCGAGCTAAAAGCGTATCTCGGTACAGAATATTCGCGTGTTCGCGTTTCACGAGTCAGCTTCATGTACATTCCCCTCGGGTGTCGCTGTGATCTCCTGAGCTGCCACGATTTCATTCATGGCGACAAAATCACAATAGCCGGCTTGATTAATCGTTATGAAATCGACTAAACTAGCTCTTATTAGCCAACACGTATGAGTACGGTTAATGCATCCTCTTTAAGATCCGTTTACGATCGCCGACTTCTCATACTGTCAGCCTGAAATGTACGAGAAGTCGTTGTATATGATAAAGTAACAAGTCGGATCGATACGGACTCGATACTCAAGGATAATAACATTAATAATATTAATACGCTCGTTGGCGGTATTCATTTTTGTATATATATCATTCCTTAACAACAAGTATTATATATATATTCAGCGAGAGAATGAGAAAGGTAAAGATAACGTAAAAATAACTACCATTTTACGTATAGATTACTAAATGATATAAACAGGGTCTGATAGGTTTTTTTTAACTTGATTGAAGCTATTTGATTAAAATTATTAACATCGATGTGTACTTGCATAATTTGTACTTGCGTAAGCAAGTATTTCACTAAAAATCTATACTGTTCGGAGTTAAATGAATTAGCTCTCCCGGCGAATGAAAATTTTATCTCCGAACAGTGTACTGCTTTGAATTAAAGAAAGCCGAATTAAAGAAATTATTGATCGAATTTTGTTGTTTATTTTTTTAAGAACATATCGATCAGTTATATATATGTGCATGATTGAATTTTGCAACAGCGTGCAGCTGTTGGGGTGGAGGGGGAAGCAAATATTAAAATTATATCTATATAGCGCTATATTATTTGATATGCGTTTGTTAATTAAAAACAATTGGAAGCCTAATTTGTTAAGTGAGCGATGTTTCAACTCCAAAGTTCATAAAAACATTTACAATTATATATAGATAAACTAAGACTTTGCAAGAAATTATGCTTTGTCTAATGCGGTAATTACACGTGACCGACCGTGTTCTGTGTACGTTCATAATTGATTCTGTAACTGCGAAAACTGGTGTTCATAGCAACAATTCTCAAAAGAGATCCGTTTGTATATGTACGCGTGTATGCGTGTGTACACATAAACACGCTCCATAAATGTACTTAATTCATAAGAAGATGTGATGTTACTTTTACATGAATCCATAGACAGAATTGCTTAACTCGTAAGGAAGCTTTTACTTTTAAGACCGAGCTGTGTTATATCCTGTCTTGAATTAATTGGGAATTGAAATCGATATTATTTCGGTGGATTAAATTCTCGACGCTATACCGTAGTAAGAAACGGTTGAATGAAATTTAACTGAATGAAACAATAAAAAGAATAAGGTATGGCCTAATAAGAGTCAACGCGGATGTAAGTTGAATGGGATTTATTTCGTAAAACTGGGCATGTTTTGTAAAAGGAAAATTCACATAACTCTTAATTTTGAAAACAATTAATTCACAATTAAAGTATTTGAAGATTAACATGTTTCACTTGTAAAAAAAAGGAAAAGAAAGAAAAGGACAGAAATTTCAGCTTTGTGTAGAGCGTCTGTAGCATTTAAATCCACTGAAATGTCAGTTACAATTTCCGAATCTTTAATCGATTATAAGCCATGTTGCGCAATTCGCTTTGTTGTGCCTAGTCGCTGCGCAGAAATCGCTACGAATTTGCGTGCGAGCGCGGCGAGCGTTTAATCCGTATTAATCTGGACACTCGTTAA